CTATAGTAAAATTGTATACTTTAGTGTGGAGTGGGGAAATATTTTTTTTCTTTTTCATTGAAAGTACCTCTATGAGCAAAAGGAAAGTGTAATTTCGTGTGCTGGCGCAGGTCTTCCTTTGACCACCCAAAGTGGAATGAGGAAAGGGGAGGGGCGGCAATCACTTTGGGATTTTATTCGGGATTACCATGAGAGACGACCGTTCGATCGCACCGGATTAAATGGAGCCTTTTACCCTTGTTGGACGCAGGTCCGAAACTGCACTTCCAACTTGAAACTTTATACACACGAAGTAGGCGACCATCTTCTCGAGATACTGCAACTCGATTGTATGTATATATCTCGTGGATTTAGCCGTCGCGTATTTTTCTCAAGCTTATATAAATATATATTCTCTCCAACCGACAAAATTCTAAATCGATTCGTCTTGAAAATTTATTCTGACGTTCTTCTCTTTTTCAAAAGATTATTATTGAAATATTGTTTGTAAATTTTTATCTCACTCGCTCTTTTACAAAAGATTATTGTTGAAATATTGTTTGCAAATTTTTGTCTGACTCTCTTTTTCGAAAGATTATTGTTGAAATATTGTTTGTCAATTTTTACCAGACAGTAAGTATTTTATTTATTCTTTTGTTTGTTTTTGTACTTTTGTTATTTTTAACGATGTTTTACTTCTTTTTATTTTTTAGGTAAAAAATAAATATACCAAAAAAAATATCAAAATATAAATATCTTTTGCTATTTTTTTTGGTTTATTTATTTTTTGATTTATTAATTTTTTTTTTTTTTTTTTGATGACTTTTTAGTAATAATTTACAATTTTCTATTTAGTTAACAACACTGAAAAATATTGCTCCCTAATTTCAAACGTTAAAAACTGCTGAATATAAAAAGAATAAAATTTTTGTTTCACTGATTTTGAATTTCGCGCCATTAGTTATGTAACATCCCGCCCAGATGGCATGAAAGTTCTCTCGCAAACGAGATAGAGCTGACGGTTTATAAGTATCAGCACCTCGTCCAGAGTCCCAATCTTGATTTTCCACAATTTTTTTCAATTATCTCCCAAAGAAAATTATTTTTTTTATCGAAAGAAGGAAAAAATTCGTTTTTTCTGTAAATAAAAAATTTATATTTTTTTTCTGATAAAACGTAAGTTGCTTTATCGAAGACACGTTCTAAATTTGATAGAAGCTGGCGCTGTAAATTGTTTATTGTCGGGGACATTTGTAGGCTAAGTAGCCGATATCCAGTTCCATTGAAGTGCAGATTGAAAAAGCGGATCTTGTAAATTCGTTTAGGAGCAGCGAACCGTATAAATCGATATTTCGTTCTCCAACTGTGTACAGTGTGTAGGACAGTTGGGGAAAAAAAAAAGTTAGCGCTGAACTTGGACAGGTGACAAAGTTGCAGAGATAAAGTTATAGATTCGTTGAAAGGTTTGTACGAAGGCAGCCATCAATTTCAAATTGTTTCTTCTTCCTTCCATCTCTTCCCTCTCACATGAACAAATTGCCATTTTTTTCATCCGCAAAAAAAAATGCAAAAAAGAAGTTTTTTGTCCCCTTAACTATTTTTCACGAATAAAATAATTAAATTCTTAATATTTTTAAGTTTCAAATTATTTAAATTCATTTTAGTTATTAAAAATATTGTAGATTTAGAATAAAAAACATATATTTAAAAAATAAATATTTAAAGAAAATTGTATATGCATTTTCTTATTCTAAAACTTTTTTTTCTGCTCTTTTGTGATAAATTCTATTTTTCGTTTATCCAGCAAAATGTTGAATGGAAATTTTCAGGCGTCGTCGTCGTCGTCGTCTCAAAATTAACTGTCATAATCTATTAGAAAAAAAAGGAAAGAGAAAACAGTTTTTTGGCAAAACGCCATGTACGATGAGTGCCACTTCGAGATGAATTTTGCATCCACATCTGTGCACCTGACACGTGCCACACTGACTCACATCATTTACATTCATAATAAAATCCCCCACTGTTGACAATTATTTCAATATTTACTTTTTATGGTCTGCATCACACTCCAAAATCCCTAAATGTAATTTTAATGATTAAAAAAAATGGAATTCAACTCGAACTTTATTTTCATTGTCAACATTCAGTGACGAAAATAATTTTGCAGTTTCAAAATAATATCAAAATGTTATCCTACTGAAATGAGAAAATTTACCAAAAATAAAAAAATAATAATAGAGGAACATAGTCAGGGTAGGACATAGTCAGGGAGGTTTTTAACTTTGTTGATAATTTCTTTTTTTAAATAAATTTAGTTCTACCTTGACTAAGGTCCAACCTTGACTATGTTACCCTAAAAAAATAATGATACTAAAAAAAGAATGAAGAAAAAATAATAAAAAAGGCAAATAACAGTCATATAGTAATAATAATTAGTAAAAATATTAATAATAATAATAATTTACTAAAGAACTTGTAAAAAAGATAGTTTTAAAAAAATATAAAAGTTTATTTTACCAACAGTTTAAAAAGAGGAAATGTTTTTTTAACGAGGGAACAAAATGTAAAAATTGTTATTATTATTATTATTATTAAAATTTGTAATTTACATGTGATGCAGGACCCATTTAGATGCGTGCGTGGCTTTAATAATAATAATAAAAAAAAGAATCTAAATGAATAAAAACGAAAAGTTCAAAGGAAAATGGCTTGTCTCGTTTGAAAATTTGTGGACGCTTCATATTCAAATATGCCACGGTGCGCTTCGATCGTTGCTTCTAGAATTGCGAATCACGAGTGGCGGCACCGAGCTTGAAAAAAAGAACTTTTTCATTTTTATGCAAATTTGATCTCTGTAATTGCCGAGTCTTGTATACTTTCTCTTAGTTTTCATTCTTAACAGCTTCCGTTAAGTTTTCCCTGCTTTACGTCCATCCGGTGTGCTGGTGGTGACTTTCCCACACTTTGTTAAAAGAAAAACTTTATTTTTAAAAGTCCTTTGAATCTTTTCTGTTTTTTTTTTTTTGGTTGCAACTTTATAATATTTATCTAATAATGATAGTAGGAATATTCTTTATTTTTTGCTATTCTTTGACTATTTGCTATTTTCTTTTCTTAATTTAGGAAAATAAATTATTAATTTAAAATTTGTTTATTGTTGCGAAATATTTAAAATAAAATTTAAACAGAATGAAAATACAAATAAAGGTAAATTAAATTTAAAATGCAACTGAATTACAATTTTATTTTGTTTATTTAATTATAATTAATTAATTACTTTATTTGTACAATTAAAATACAATTATAATAGAAATAAAATTAAATGAAAATACAATTGAAACGAACTTATTTATAATTTTTTTCTGAATTTACCTATCAGCGTTTGGAAAACAGCATAATTGGAAATTGAGTGGTTCACTTTAACTCGTTTGCGAGAGAATTTTCATGCCATCTGGGCGGGAAATTACAGAACTAGTGGCGCGAAATTCAAATTTCAAAAAGGAAAAAATTGTAGATAATTAAGTAATATTTAACTTTTGGGAGAATATTGAGTTTGTATTTGACATGAATTTCTACTTTTGCATATTTGAACCGATACTGGTCCATTACTGGCGTAATCTTTAAAACAAGATTCCCAGGAATATCGATTTATACGGTTCGCTGCTCCTAAGCGAATTTACAGATCCGCTTTTTCAATCTGCGCCACAATGAAAGGGGATCTCGGCTACTTAGCCCACAAATATCTCCCACAATAAACAATTTACAGCATCAGCTTCTATCAAATTTGGAACGTGTCTTCGAAGAAAGCAACTTACATTTCGTCAGGAAATATATTTTTATTTACAGCAAAACGAATTTTTCCTTTTATTCCACGAAAACTATTTTTTTTCCTCTTTTGGAGAATGTTGAAATATTTATGGCAAATTTTGTCAATAATAACTTAATGTTCGTGAAAATAATTATGCTACCATTAAAATATATATTTGGCCTACAACGAATATTAATTTTTTTCTTTGAAACATGAAAATAATAATATTTTTGTTTTATTAAATTTGAATTTCGCGCCATTAGTTCTGTGAATTCCCGTCCAGATGGCATCAAAACTCGCTCACAAACGAGATGTAGTAGACTAATGGCGCGAAATTCAAATTTAGTAAAACAAAAATACAAACTCTTTGTCCAATAATAGTTAAGTCATTACTTTCTTCTTTCGAAAAATGATTAAAATTATAAATATTAATTGTATTAAATATTTATTAATTATTAATTATCATTTATTAATTATTAATTATTAATATATGCTGATAATAAATTGATAATATATTTACTACACAACTGAATGAAAACGTAGTGCACTCTGAACGTGGTATTGATACTTATTGACCGTCTATTTCATCTCGTTTGTGAGTGAGTTTTCATGCCATCTGGGCGGGAATTTACAAAACTAATGGCGCGAAATTCAAATTCATTAAAACAAAAATATAAATACTTGAGTAATAAATTATTTTTCAAAGAACATTTCCCATTTTTACACTATTTCCGCAAAGTTAGACAAATTTCTATCTTGAAAAATACCAGAAAAAAAAATTATTAGAGTAGTTATTGTATCTCAAATGATAAATTAAGTAAAAAATTGTAATATTATTTATCTTCTCTAACTTTTTTTATTTTTTGATTTAGTAATATCTTCTTTTTTCCTTCTTGATAAGAGAACTATTTTATCGTTTATTATTGATCGGAAACATTTTATTTTGAATTTTAAAAAAGAAATTCTTAGAATGACCAATGGAAAATTACGTTATTCTTGGATTCAAAAACTTTGCCATACATTACTATTCGTATATATATTACCTCGAAAAGGAGACGAAACCGTAGGGATTTTAGATGGTAACGGAGGGTTAGTGCGTCGACTTTCAACTGAAAAAGAGGGGGGGTTGAAAACGAATGTTTCCTTCACGGGAGATTAACTATTCTTGGGGTCCTGCCAACTTTTTCATAAACTTTCTGCTTTTCTGTTTCAGAATTTCTTATGCCGCTGCTCTCTTGGCCACCCTTTGTTATTGGTGAGTTAAAACAACATTTCATTTGAATTTTATTTAACTTTTATGCTAGACACATGTAATACAATTCAAAACGCAATTTATTCTCCTCACTTATTTTCACTCAGAGGAAAGTCTTCTAATTTTTAAATCTAATTCGCAATTTTATAATAAATTCCCTTTTTTTTATTAATAAATTAATAAATTCCTAGAACTATTTAATTATTTTTTAATTTAAATTTTCTGGATTTTGGGAATTTTTTTACTTGTATAGTGTAGTTTATGGAACGATAACCGAAGGCACTGTTTCTATATATAAATTGTATACAGGGAGGAAGGGGGATTTTAACTTTATCGTTTAATCAAGAGAGATGAGCGCCTCCGGCGTGAAATTTCGCGATACCTAAAACGTGTGTAATATAACGTCCCATGGAACACGCACTAGGGTAAACCACGTCGACGTGACGTCCGACGCACGTCTACGTGATGTCCGGACATCCGACATCCCGATGCACACACTAATGTGCTGACTACTAGATAGGTGAAATTATTAACGTTACCAAGCTCTCACATCACACGCCAATTAAAGTTTCGCGTGTCAAGGCGGTATGCGCTCATCTCGAGCGCACATGCCACGAATATGTGAAACTTTCTTCTAAAACACTTTTTTTTCCCGGAAAATTAATCTTTTACTTGCAAAACAAAAAAAAAAGCAAAATTATTTTATAATTATTTTGTAATACTAAAAAAATTGTTAATTGTTAAAAACTTTGCAACTTTGTAAATTACATTTCGATAATTTTTATCGCACCTACGATTGCCGACAGAAATACATCAGGAAAATAATTTGCCAAAAAAAATTAATAAATAAATAAAGTTTATTCGCACATCATATCTATTTGAGTTATTTCCAATATGAAATTTTCATGTATGAAACTATATCTGTATAAATGTAGAGAAGCTTTCGCGTATTTAAATTTTAAACACGTGTATATTGCGTAATTCTGCATGTCAGTAGCACACGAGTATAAAACGGATTGATGAAATTGGAGGGGAAGAAAGAAAGTAAAACACTTTTACTACATATATAACAAAAAAGAAAATTACTCCTCACGCAATATAGAGAATGCTTTTAAGATAAAATAAATTCGCGTGTTCTGAATTTGATGATGCAATTTGCAAACGCAAATTCCTTAACACAGAATATATTGTATAGAGAATGAAAAATAAAGTCTAAAAAAAGAGTGCACTTAAAGGAAGGCACTTAAATCCACTTTTACTATACAGTGACACGCGACAGTTTATTTTCTCCTTCTTATTTTCTATATTTACTGCAAACGGCAGGTGGAATCAACACGAGAAAAAATTTTCAAGGTAAACTTTCGCACACAAGTTTTGTCAATAAATATATTCAAGAAATTCTGCAAATTGACATTTAACATTTTAAAGTTTAAACAAATAATTTTTTTTATGTTTCTTAATTTTTTTTTGGACAATTTTCAGAATCAGGGCTCGAAGCAAGTAAAAGTATTTGAAAATACGGACTTTGCGGATCAAAAATTAAAAATTAAATTAAAATTAAATTAAAAAATCATTATCAATTCAATTATTATTTTTAAGAATTTTTATCTCAAATTCTTCTTTATATATTGATTATTTTTAATAATTTTCGAAAAAGTTCTTTGACAATTTTCAAATCCATTTCTTTACAATATTCAATTTTACGAAATTTCAATTATTTGTAAATTCTTTAATTAAATAAATATTAGAAAATAGAAACTAAAAATAATATTATGAAATGAAAATCAATTTTTATTAGAAAAATCTACTAGAATTCAATTATTTGAATACAAATAAAATGCAAATAAATAATTTATTGAATAATTGAACGTTTCTTAAAATTCAATTCCCATAAAGAATCGTTATCAACAAATTTTCAAATAATCAAATTCTATCAACGAATTTTAATAAAATTTTTAAGAATAATTACATTTTTGAGAAAATCGATTAAAATTGTATTAAAAATAATTGAAATTATGCATTGAATTTTATTATTTATGAAAATAATTGAATTCTTGCAAAGAATTTTATTAAAATTTTCAAAAATAATTAAATTCTTGAAAAAATTAATAGGAATTCAATTATTTTAAAAAATTTTAATAAAATTCTTGGCATAAATTAAAAGTAACAAAATTTTTAGCAGATCTTCAATTACTTTCAGAAATTTTAATAAAATTTTTCGCAAGAATTTAAATATTTTCAAAAATATCAGAATTTTAGGAGAAATTCAAACATTTTCAAAAGTTTTGATAAAATTTTTTTTGGTAGAAATTCAATTATTTTTAAGACAATTTAAAAAAAATGTCTTGATAAAATTCAATTATTTTTAAAATTTTAATGAAATTCTTCGAAGGAATTCAATTATTATAATCTAAGATTTTAAATAAAATATATTTTTAAATCAATGTTTATGAGAAAATTCTACCAGAATTCAATTATTTAAATACAAAAATAAATAATTAATTGAATAATTAAATGTTTCTTGGAATTCAATTCCTATTAAAAATTTTATCAACAAATTTTTGAATAATTAAATTCTTTGAATTCTATTGAAAATCATTGAATTCCTAAAAAAATTTTATTATTTACGAAAACAATTGAATCCCCGTAAAAATTTTATTATTTATGAAAATAGTTGAATGATTGCGAACAAATTTATAAAAAAAATTTGGTAACATTTTTATTATTTTTTGAAAATAATTAAAAGTTTTTGTACAATTTAGTTAAATTTTTTGTTTAAATAATTAAATTCTTTTGGTAAATTTTATGAAAATAGTAGATATGGAACAATATTTAATTTTTGCAAATACATATTATTACTTTTAAAAGTAAATGAAATTTTGCAATGGATTTTATTAAAAATTTTTGCAAATAATTGAATTTTATTACTTCACAAAATAATTGAATTCGTGTGATAAATATTGTTAATTATGAAAATAATTGAAATTTTTTAATGAATTTTATTAAAATTTTTAAAAATAATTATTTTCAAAAATTTTAATAATTAAATATTTAATTAAATATTTATTTTAATAATTAAATTCTTTGGATGAATTATAATAAAATTTTTAAGCATTTTTTTGAGGAATTCGAATAAAATTCTATTGAAAATAATTGAATTCCTAAAAAAAATTTTATTATTTACGAAAATAATTGAATCCCCGTCAAAATTTTATTATTTATGAAAATAGTTGAATGAAATATTTATTTATAAAGATAATTGAAATGTTGACCATTTTTTTTTTAGACTTTTTAAAAATAATTGAATTTCTGAGAAGAATTTTAATATTTCTAAAGATAATTGAAATTTTGACGAGAATTGTTAAAAATTTTTGAACATAATTGAATTTTTGCGAAGAATTTTATTAGTTTTGAAAATAATTGAATTTCTGCAATTTGTAATTTTTCTAAAGCAAAGTTACGGACTTTTTTTACGGACTTTTTCAGGATTTACAGACCTACTTCGAACCCTGCAGAATAAGTTATTTGAATAATTAATAACTTTTAATAATTTATGATTAATGATAATAATTGTTATTAATCTATACTTTTTATATACTAAAACTAGAACTATACTGCTTTTTTTTTCTTTTTTAAAATAAGAATTACACTTTTTTGGTGTTTAATTTTTCTATTTTAGTTAATTAAATAAATTAAATGAAAAATTAATCAACGAAATAATTAAAAAATTATTTTTCGCATTATAATATATTAATGTAGATAATTTTCGTTTAATATTTTTATTTTAATTAATTAAATAAAGACTATAATAAATAAACAAACGAAATAATAAAAAAATTATTTTTCTTTATAATATGTTATTACCAGGATTTGAATAGATAACTGAAAGTGAAAATTATCAGTTGAGAGAGTAATAAGTAATAAGCAAAGGATGATAATAATAATGAATTTAATTACCGATAAATCAGAGGAGAAAGAGAGAGAGAGAGAGAGAGAGAGAGAGATTTGAGAGTTTATTTTTGATTTAAACGTCACAATCAGATGAAGTGGATATTAATTTGAGCAGAGAGTCACGTATATACGTTTGATTGACAAATCTCATTAGAAATTGGTACAATATGGTAACAGGAAGCTAACTAAATTCGACTGCGGCTTCCTTCCAAGGGGTGAAATTATCCCCGAGCGGACATATTAAATGCATTTACGAAGGCAATTAGTTTTGCGGCCATTTCAAAACTAAAACAGTGAAAAGTCCACATTGCAGTGCAAGGGATATCAAAAGAGAACGAAATGGAATATGAGAATATACGTTCGTTTTATTAAAATGTCAAAAAATGAAACAATGTTTCCAACGAGGATTAACTTCATCTTCTTTTTTTTTGTATTTTATGTTCATTTTTAAATTTCAATCTGTGTATTTTAATTGCTTTTTAGCCAATTTTTAAGTAAGTGAAAATATTATTTTTACATATATAAAAGTAAAAACAAAAATATAATTTTAATTATAAATTTAAAAATAAATAATTTTTTTTCTAATTTTCATATTTCATAGAATTATTAATTGATTTCGGACAAACAGAAATGCCCCCTCTCCCTTTTTTTATTTCTAATAAAAATTTCAGCATAATGAACATTTTTTCAAATCGAATTCAAATTTAAATTCTCAAATATAGAAAATACATTTATGTATACAAATACATATATGTATTTGTTAAAATAAACATGAGATTCAACGATTCAAAATGATAATTACAAACTCGCAGTAAATCTTGAGGCAAACTGAAACCCATCAAGTTTTGGAGTTTCGCTGATATAAGGACTTTGGCAAACTTGACAAGACCGCATGATTATGAGGGATTGATTTGCTGCCTTATTGATTTGCACGAAACTTGGGTTGCTCTCAATAAATATTGGCTTTAGTGCGTTCAGTGACCGGTTACCGGGCTTTCGACCAATGAATACACAACAGTTTCCTATAGACCAATTCATTCAGCATGTCACTC